CCAGTATTTTATTGAGGATTTTTGCATCGATATTCATCAGGGATATTGGCCTAAAATTCTCTTTTTCTGTTGTGTCTCTGCCAGGTTTTGGTATCAGGATGATGCTGGCCTCATAAAATGTGTTAGGGAGGATTCTCTCTTTTTCTATTGATTGGAATAGTTTCAGAAGGAAGAGTGCCAGCTCCTCTTTGTACCTCCGGTAGAATTTGGTTGTGAATCTGTCTGGTCCTGGACTTTTTTTGGTTGGTAGGCTATTAATTATTGCCTCAATTTCAGAACCTGTTATTGGTCTACTCAGAGATTCAACTTCTTCCTGGTTTAGTCTTGGGAGGGGGTATGTGTCCAGGAATTTATCCATTTCTTCCAGATTTTCTATTTTATTTGCATAGAGGTGTTTATTGTATTCTCTAATGGTAGTTTGTATTTCTGTGGAATCAGTGGTGATATCCCCTTTATCATTTTTTATTGTGTCTATTCGATTCTTCTCTCTTTTCTTCTTTATCAGTCTGGCTAGCAGTCTATCTATTTTGTTAATCTTTTCAAAAAAACCATTTCCTGGATTCATTACTTTTTGAAAAGTTTTTCGTGTCTCTATCTCCGTCAGTTCTGCTCTGATCTTAGTTATTTCTTGTTTTCTGCTAACTTTTGAATTTGTTTGCTCTTGCTTCACTAGTTCTTTTAATTGTGATGTTAGGGTGTCGATTTTAGATCTTTCTTGCTTTCTCTTGTGGGCATTTAGTGTATAAATTTCTGTATAAACACTGCTTTAGCTGTGTCTCAGAGATTCTGGTGCATTGTGTCTTTGTTCCCATTGGTTTCAAATAACTCATTTATTTCTCCCTTAATTTCGTTATTTACCCGGTAGTCATTCAGGAGAAGGTTGTTCAGTTTCCATGTAGTTGTGGGATTTTGAGTGAGTTTCTTCATCCTGAGTTCTAATTTGATTGGACTGTGGTCTGAGAGACTGTTATGATTTCCATTCTTTTGCATTTGCTGAGAAGTGTTTTACTTCCAATTATGTGGTCAATTTTAGAATAAGTGTGATGTGGTGCTGAGAAGAATGTGTATTCTGTTGATTTGGGGTGGAGAGTTCTGTAGATGTCTATTAGGTCTGCTTGGTCCAGAGCTGAGTTCAAGTTCTGAATATCCTTGTTAATTTTCTTTCTCGTTGCTATGTCTAATATTGACAGTGGGGTGTTACTGTCTCCCACTTTTATTGTGTGGGAGTCTAAGTCTCTTTGTAGGTCTCTAAGAACTTGCTTTATGAATCTGGGTGCTCCTGTATTGGGTGTATGTACAATTAGGATAGTTAGCTCTTCTTGTTGCATTGATCCCTTTACCATTATGTAATGGCCTTCTTTGTCTCTTTTGATCTTTGTTGGCTTCAAGTCTGCTTTATCAGAGACCAGGATTGCAACCCCTGCTTTTTTTTTGCTTTCCATTTGCTTGGTAAATATTCCTCCATCCCTTTATTTTGAGCCTATGTGTGACTTTGCACATGAGATGGATCTCCCAAATACAGCACATTGATGGGTCTTGACTCTTTATCCAATTTGCCAGTCTGTGTATTTTAATTGGGGCATTTAGCCCATTTACGTTTAAGGTTAATATTGTTATGTGTGAATTTGATCCTGTCATTGTGATGTTAGCTGGTTCTTCGCCCGTTAATTGTTGCAGTTTCTTCCTAGCATTGATGGTCTTTACCATTTGACATGTTTTTGCAGTGACTGGTACCAGTTCTTCCTTTCCATGTTTAGTGCTTCCTTCAGGAGCTCTTGTAAGGCAGGCCTGGTGGTGACAAAGTCTCTCAGCATTTGGTTGTCTGTAAAGGATTTTATTTCTCCTTCGCTTATGAAGCTTAGTTTGGCTGCATATGAAATTTTGGGTTGAAAATTCTTTTCTTCAAGAATGTTTCTCTTCTGGCTTGTATGGTTTCTGCAGAGAGATCCACTGTTAGTCTGACGGGCTTCCCTTTGTGGGTAAGTCGACCTTTCTCTCTGGCTGCCCTTAATATTTTTTCCTTCATTTCAACCTTGGTGAATCTGATAATTATATGTCTTGGGGTTATTCTTCTTGAGGAGTATCTTTGGGGTATTCTCTGTATTTCCTGAATTTGAAAGTTGGCCTGTCTTGCTAGGTTGGGAATATTCTCCTGGATAATATCCTGAAGAGTGTTTTCTAACTTGGTTCCATTCTCCCTGTCACTTTCAGGTACAACAATCAAATGTAGATTTGATCTTTTCACATAGTTCCATATTTCTTGGAGGATTTGTTTGTTTCTTTTCACTCTTTTTTTCTAATCTTGTCTTCTTGCTTTATTTCATTAATTTGATCTTCAATCACTGACATCCTTTCTTCCACTCAATTGAATTGACTGTTGAAGCTTGTGCATGTATCACAAAGTTCTTGTGCTGTGGTTTTCAGCTCCATCAGGTCATTTAAGCTCTTCTCTATGCTGGTTATTCTAGTTAGCCATTTGCCTAACCGTTTTTCAAGGTTTTTAGCTTCCTTGCAATGCTCCTTTAGCTTGGAGAAGTTTGTTATTACTAATCTTCTGAAGCCTACTCCTGTCAACTCATCAAACTCATTCTCTGTCCAGTTTTGTTCCTTTGCTGGCAAGGAATTGTGTTCCTTTGGAAAAGAAGAGGTATTCTGGCTTTTGGAATTTTCAGCCTTTCTGCTCTGGTTTCTCCCCATCTTAGTGGTTTTATCTACCTTTGGTCTTTGATGTTGGTGACCTACGGATGGGGTTTTGATGGGGATGTCCTTTCTGTTGATGTTGATGCTATTCCTTTCTGTTTGTTAATTTTTCTTCTGACAGACAGGCCCCTCAGCTACAGGTCTGATGGAGTTTGCTGGAGGTCCACTCCAGACCTTGTTTGCCTGGGTATCACCAGGAGGCTGCAGAAGAGCAAATGTTGCTGCCTGATTCTTCCTCAGGAAGCTTTGTCCCAGAGGGGCACCCACCTGTATAAGGTGTTTGTTGGCCCCTACTGGGAGGTGTCTCCCAGTCAGTCTACACAGGCTCAGGGACCCACTTGAGGAGGCAGTATGTCCGTTAATGGATCTCAAATGCTGTGCTGGGAAAACCACTGCTCTCTTCAGAGTTGTCAGGCAGGGATGTTTAAGTCTGTAGAAGTGTCTGCTGCCTTTTGTTCAGATATGCCCTGCCTCCAGAAGTGGAATCTAGAGAAGCAGTAGGCTTTGTTGAGCTGCGGTGGGTTCTGCCCAGTTCGAGCTTCCCTGCTTCTTTGTTTACACTGTGAGCATAGAAATACCTACTCAAGCCTCAGCAATGGTGGTGTCCCTCCCTCCCTACCAAGCTTTAGCATCCAAGGTTGATCTCAGACTGCTGTGCTAGCAGAGAGCAAGGTTCCATGTGTATGAGACCTGCCAAGCCAGGCAGGGGAGGCAATCTCCTGGCCTGCTGGTTGCAAAGACCATGGGAAAAGCACAGTATTTGGACAAGAGTGTACGGTTCTTCCGAGTACAGTCACTCATGACTTCCCTTGTCTAGGAAAATGAAATCTCCTGACTGCTTGCACTTCCTGGGTGAGGCGATGCCCCACCCTGCTTTTGCTCACCCTCTGTAGGCTGCACCCACTGTCCAACCAGTCCCAGTGAGATGAACCAGGTACTTCAGTTGGAAATGCAGAAATCATCTGTCTTCTGTGTCGATCTTGCTGGGAGCTGTAGACTTGAGCTATTCCTATTCGGCCATCTAGAAAGCGCCAACCCTCTTGTAGCTTTAATTCAATTTACTCTCCAAAGTGGAATTAGTGTTTTCTGACTCTAGAACATAGTCCCTGAGTAAAAGGATGTTAACCCATCATTTTGTTCAATGCTTACAATAAACACATTTATTAAGTCATATTAAGGCATTACTTTTAATGATAAAACAGAATGGAGTAAACCCAGCACAGAAGCAATAATATGTTAGAATTCCCCTCTGTTCCCCATTCACCCCAGTGATTCTGTCATTTTCTAAAGGCAGAGTGGCCCAAGCCTCCTCACACTTGGTCAAGAGAGAGAGACTAAGGAAACTAACTTGACTTGATGAAATGAATTTCATCCTCTGGTGTCATCTCAGAGCATCAAAGGCAAGCTGTGTGTGGTGTCTGTCAGTAATTAGTGGTGAGGTTTCCCAAGAAGGGATCAGGTTCCCAAGTAGATATCGAATACTGGGGCATCAAAGTTGGTAGGAGGCCATCACCTAGAACAGGAGAGGACCCCAGGTACAGGATTAGGGTACCAAGCAAGGCCCTACAGGCACCAAGAAATCCAGTGAGGTTTGCCACCCAGATTTAGCAAATAAAAACGAAAAGTGCCTAGTTAAATTTGAATTTCAGGTAAATAGAGAACAAATTTTTAGTGTATGTCCCATGCAATATATATGGAATTCAAATTTATTTGGACATCCTGTATTTATGTGGCAAAGCTAACAGGGTCAAAAAATTTCAGAACCTTTATAGGATTTTGAAATTGAAACAGCGTTTCAATTTTTCCTGCTTCCATGTAAGACCTTTCAGTTTTCACTATCATCTTCTAGGTCATTATGCTGAAGTCTCTGGTCATAGGTAAGACCCAAGGAGTCCATTTCCAAAATGATAATATCTGTAATTTTAGTTCTAATTTACATAATTAAATTTTACACTTATATAGATCCTTTCCACATTAGTATATGGTGGGTGGTTTCTTTTTGAACATAAAAAGGTATTTTATGGATAAAGAGTAAAATGTGTCTTTCTCTTCAGATAGTTCGTTTTTCATAATTTACCAGTGTTCATGTCTTATAATCAGTTTGTGGAGAAGACAATTTACAAAATGAAGTGTGAATATCTATAGGAACTCTTTATTATCTATACAATAAACTTTATTTTAAACAGAAAACCAGCAATTAAAAATTATTTCTGCTTGTGTTGGTTGTCCTTGGGAAGTATTTTGTTTAAATGAGATAAAATATTGAAAGTATACAGTTTGGTCTCTTTCTTCCCACCCAGGTCCTGCACCCTTCTTAATTTTCTCCCACGGAAATAGTATCTTTAGGATTGACACGGAAGGAACCAATTATGAGCCATTGGTGGTGGATGCTGGTGTCTCAGTGATCATGGATTTTCATTATAAAGAGAAAACAATCTATTGGGTGGATTTAGAAAGACAACTTTTGCAAAGAGTTTTTCTGAATGGGTCAAGGCAAGAGGTAAAATACCATTACCTGCAGTGTTTGAGCTGTTTTTGTACAGGCTGACAAATATAATATATTGAATTCTTAATGTATAGATAAATGAAAATTATATTACAATTCAAATGTGTGTCTGCCAAATATAGGCGTTTATTTAATCTACATATGTGGTAGTATATTATTGAGTAAGTTCACACATTGATATTCAGAAGCCCCAAAATGAGAAAGTGAAGATATGAATGTAATTTTGAAAATATCTGAGTTTATTAAATCAGATCGCCATTTTATGAAGATAGATTATTTGCATGATTATTTCTTGCTATTTGTAAGGTACCCCAGTAGTTCTCAGGTGGGGGGCAGTTTTTTCCTGAGGGAACAATTGGCAGTGTCTGGAAACATTTTTGGTTGTCACAAGCGGATGAGGTAGGAAGGTGGAGACGATAAAGGCATCTAGTGGGGAAAGGCCTGGGGTGCTGCAAAACATCTCACACTGTGCAGAACAGCCCCAGAATAAAGAATTATCCAGCCCGGAATGTCATTAGTGCTGAAGTTGAGAGACCCTGTTTTATCTGTATAAAATCTCCATCATGGGTGTTGGCACCTGACATGTAGAAAGAAAACTTTTCTTCTTTTTATTCTCACAGTGGTTGCACTCTGGAAAAAAATAATATAGCAGATGACAGATACAAGGTACTTTACTTCAAGTACATACAAAAGATCCTTAATCTTTCTATTTAGCTGGTAGAACCCTTACATGAGTCCCAGGAGGAATGTTTCTCTCAATTCGGTGATGGATTACAAAGATCATGTGCCTAGAGAAACTTTAAGAGTTGATTTCTCAACACAAAGTGCACAATTTTTTTTTGTTTTTTAGCCAAATCTTTCTCTTTCCAATTATTCTTAAAAGCTTCAATTAGGTGCTAATCTGTTTTATCACATCTCCAATACTTGCTAATCTCACTTTTAACAAGGATGGCTACTCATTATCCTCCAGACATGTGGTAGTATAGTTTCAAACTCTTGAGTCTAAGAATCTGAAGGGTTTCCTATCAAGAACATGGAAAAACTTAAAATAGTTGTGAATTTATGTCAAGTCATTAGGAAAGGATCAGCCTGATGCCTAAAATTCCATCCCTATATTCCTTCCTTTGGGTTAAAACATTGCTTATAAAGGACAACTGTTAAAATGCAAACGATTTGCCTGGGTGAGCTAGTTTATGAATGTATTAGGTTGGTGCAAAGGTAACTGCAGTTTTGGCCATTATTTTCAATGGTAAAATAAGTTGGCTAGATTTATTTACATGAGATGTAGAAATAGCACAGGCTCATGAGATTATGCAATTTCAGCCCAACTCTGATTTCAATGATGTCACCTGGGTAGCTGGATGTCGGCCATGGTGGAATATTTACACCATGAAAATCTTCAACAGTTCAAATTGGGGCTTCTGCCCACCTCGCAACCTCCATTCCCCAAGAAGACCAGCTTACCTGCCCTTGGCTGAAATTAAGAGATGAAAAGTTTTGTTTGGGCATTTTTATCATGAAAGAGCTGGGAATACAGCCCAAGGCGCATAAAAAGACACCCTGCTACTCTCATGTCACAGTGTGAGAGCATGAAGGACTGTGGAAAGGAAGAAGGCCTATTGGAGGAAGAGGGCCAGAAGAATAAAGGCCATAATGAGAAATTCATCAAGTTCATGTCTGTAAGCTCAAACTCCAAGGAAATCTTGCAAAGCTTGGAATTGAGTTCAGTTGAAGATCTGGAAAGTTCCATTAGCAAATGGAATGGAATAAGCTGTCTTTACGGTTGCAGCAAAATTTCACTATTACTGTAGTTGAAATGATTAATACATGATGGTTGGCTGCCTAGTTTAAATAGTGTGTAGGATAATTTTTAGTTTCAAAGCTATGATATAAATACTATTTCCAGAAATATTTACTTAGGGGTCGCAGGAGGTTTAATAATGCTGCATCAAAACAAAGACACCATATCTGTGACTACTTTATTATGTAAACAATTTTGGAAATGCATAAAGATGACAAGTTCTTAAAAGGATAGACTTTTTATATATAACAATTAAAATAATTTTGTTGTGAATGGGGAAATATTAATAACAATTTTAAAATTTGATTTTGCAGAGAGTATGTAATATAGAGAAAAATGTTTCTGGAATGGCAATAAATTGGATAAATGAAGAAGTTATTTGGTCAAATCAACAGGAAGGAATCATTACAGTAACAGATATGAAAGGAAATAATTCCCACGTTCTTTTAAGTGCTTTAAAATATCCTGCAAATATAGCAGTTGATCCAGTAGAAAGGTAAATTCTGCTGTATTCAGACATTGAAATATATTTACAAATCTAGTGAAGATTGATAGAATTATAACATTTTAAATTCAAAGGGGTCCTCTCACTGAGACCAAAGCTCTCTTTGTAGCACACAGGCACCATTTTCTATAGGACAATTGCCTGCATTTCAACTGAGACAGGATCCCTTCATAAATATTCCTAACTATCATGGTTTTCTGCTATAGAGACATAATTCCCCTTCTAACTTGAAATTGCTTGTAATGTTACAATAGGGCAGTGTTTGCTTGTTGAATACATTTTCATTCAAAAAAGTCAAACTTGCCCTGTGCAGGAGCTGCTGAAACATTGAGAGAGTTGGCCATTTAAGGCACTATACGTTCATTTTTGGGTCTATGTAATGTGTTTTCCCTCAGGTTTATATTTTGGTCTTCAGAGGTGGCTGGCAGCCTTTACAGAGCAGATCTTGATGGTGTGGAAGTGAAGTCTCTGTTAGAGACATCAGAGAAAATAACGGCTGTGTCATTGGATGTGCTTGATAAGCGGCTGTTTTGGATTCAGTACAGCAGAGAAGGAAGCAATTCTCTTATTTGCTCCTGTGATTATGATGGAGGTTCTGTCCGTGTTAGTAAACATCCAACACAGTAAGTTTTACTCTTGGTATAAAATAAAACAGTTGTCGTTTGAAGTCCACAAGATAAATTAATTTTACTTTTGTCAACAGAACTGGTATAGTAGTTTAGGCCATAGATTTTGAATCCAAAAGACTTGAGTTCAAGCTCCAGATTGAACTCATCTGTTAGATGAGTGACTTTGAGTAGGTTCTATAACTTCTCTTATCCTCAGTTTCCTTTAATGTGAGGATAATCATAGCATCTCTCTCTTGGGATTATTGTGAAGGGAAAGTAAATGAATACAAACAAAAATAATTAACAGAGTATTTGGCACGTAATAAGTTCTCACATGTTGATCATAGTTATTCTTTTTGGAATTATTATGTTATATATATTTTTATATTTCATTGGTTTGCTATCATGCCAGCAACTGACTTTCCAGCTTTGTGGCAAAAGGCAGAAATTAGTCATGTGAAATTGATGTCACTAGAAACCCATTCTTACCTGGTTCCTATGTTCTTCCCCATTTTCATCACACTTATTGGATGACTAAAAGATTAATGAGATAATGGAACTGGAGCTAGAAATTATATCTTATTAGCTCAGAGTATGATGACATAAATAAAATTTTAAACTTAACATACTTTTCTAAACGTAAATGAGAAACAATGGAAAAGGTAGGTAGTTAAAACTTAGACAATAAATTGAAATGAAGTAAAACTCTAATAAGCCAAGGAACAAATGTTCTATTGTTCTTTTTTCTTTTGTGGTTGCTTTTTAGGTACAATTTGTTTGCAATGTCCCTTTTTGGTGACCATGTCTTCTATTCAACATGGAAAACGAGGACAATTTGGATAGCCAACAAACACACTGGAAAGGATATGGTTAGAATTAACCTCCATCCATCATTTGTACCACCCGGTGAACTGAAAGTAGTGCATCCACTTGCACAGCCCAAGGCAGAAGATGATGCTCGGGAGCGTGGTGAGTCATCATTGACCTTGTGCGGGGCCTGACACATAGTTCCCACCCATTTACCTGCTTGAGCCAGACAATGAGGGCTTGTAGGGGTAAAAATATTTTTTTCTTCAACCCTCATATATTCTTAGTTATAATAGACCCCTGTAAGAAAAGGCAGATTAACAAGAGAAAAACAAATAGAAGTCCAGCAATGGTGGCTCACACTTGTAATCTCTGCACTTTGGAAGGCTGAGGTGGGAGGATTGCTTGAGGCCAGGAGTTTGAGACCAGCCTGGACAACACAGCAAGACTCTGTCTCAAAAAAAGAAAGAAAGAAAGAAAGAAAGAAGAAGAAGAGAGAGAAGAGAGAGGAGGAGGAGAAGAGAGGAAGATGGAGGGAGGGAGGAAGAATAACAAATAGAAAAGGATTAGCATGCACATTTGTATATACATGGGAGAAACCTGGGGAATTAGTAGCTCTCAAAGAGGTGGCTTTAAATGCCAGCTTATGTAGTATCTTTAATAAAGAACAGTAAATTTTTAGAGAAGTGACAAGACAGAGGAAAAGGACTTTGAGTTTCTATGGGCAGCAAGTTGGGGGAAGGCAAATAAATGGCAGCTAAATGCTAGTTAATAAAGCTTGTTGGCTGGGCATGGTGGCTCACGCCTGTAATCCCAGCACTTTGGGAGGCCGAGGCAGGTAGATCACAAGGTCAGGAGATGGAGACCATCCTGGCTAACATGGTGAAACCCCATCTCTACTAAAAATACAAAAAAATTAGCTGGGTGTGGTGGTGGGCGCCTGTAGTCCCAGCTACTTGGGAGGCAGGAGAATGGCATGAACCCAGGAGGTGGAGCTTTCCGTGAGCCAAGATTGCACCACTGCACTCCAGCCTGGGCAACAGAGCAAGACTCTGTCTCAAAAAATAATAAATAAATAAATAAATTAATTAATTAATTAAAAATAAAGCTTGTTAATGTAGATACCTCCGCAGCCATTGCGAGGCCATAAGGATCTAAAGTTGTGTTCAGTGGTTAACTTTTGTGATTCCTGGTAGAGAGGGGGTACCTATTGTCTTTGTAAATCTGTGTCTTGCATTTAGGCAAATAGAGATAGCTTTTCTGTATCTATTTCTTTTTAATTGTTTGAAGCTCAACAATCTTTCCTATTTTGGAGTGGCATATTCTGGGATCTACAGGGCCATCTCTGATTTTTCTCACTGTCGCACCCCCAATTTCTAATCCAACACTAAATCCATTCCATTCTACCTTCTAAATACTTTTCAAATGTCCACTTCTCTTCTCTACTGCCACTGCCATAGTCTAAACAGACAGGCACTTTTTGTTTCGCCTACTACAGTAGTCGCTCAACTGATCCTTCTGTTTTCTGAATCTGATCCATTCATTCTCCTACACAAAATCTGTCAAAAGCTTTTCTTTGCACTTAGGTTGAAGTTCAGCATTTCACCAGTCTCGTCAATATTTGACCAACCTGCTCTAGTGATCTCTGCCCTCACTAGAATTTAGTGCAAGTCTTGCTATAACTCCTCAAACATGCTAACCTCCTTCATTCCTTTAGGGTTTTGCAGCCACTCTTCCTTGGCTTAGACTTCTCTTCAGTTCTGAGCTTAAATGTCATGTCCTCAGATAGGTCTTCTCTGATAAGCCAATCAAAATAGGCCCCCTCACCTCTTACTTTTTTCATAGTACACCTTTCATTGAACCCATCACGAGGTGTAACTACATACACATTTGCTTTCTTTGGATTCTCTCTCCCATTTGATTGTAAGTGCCATACAGGTAGAAACCATGTGTATTTTGTTTGCTTTTTTTAGCCACCATATATACAGTAGGTATTTATAAATAAATTTTAGATGGTAAATATTAGTGAAAAGAATAAGTGATTGACTGAATCTAGTCACAGTCCCAGATTTCCACCTGTAAATGTGGTCTTCTCTGTTTGAATTTTTTTTTTAATCTGTAAGATATTATTTATTAAGATCTTAAGCCTCACCCCTGAACTCAAATGGGATGGGATAAGGAGTAAGGAAAGAGGTTACAGGAGGCAGAAAACAAAGCCCGGCTCTTCCAAGCTCACCACCTAGCCAAGGTCCTCGAATTCCTGAGGGAACCCAGGGCTGGAGGCTGGGCTGCAGGAAGGCAGCATTCCTGGGAGGTTCCAAGTTCTGGACAGGGGTACAGAGCTGTTGCATGTGTGGGGGCTGGGGTAAGGGAAAGGCTCCAGAGCTACTTTCGTTCACATCTTCAACTATTCTCTCTTCCACTTGCACGTTCATCTCACCATTCCTGACCCAGCCAGCCCCTTATCACTGAGTACTGCTGCTGCTGCTGGTCCTCTCCTCCCCAAATCCACTTGCCCACTGGCATCTAGCTCCTCCTCCAGCCACACCCACACTCACTCATCCCCTTCCTCACAATGACTGCACCCAAAAGACACTGTACTGGGGAACCCGGCTTGGTCACTCAGATGTTAACTAAAGGCCCAAGGGAATGTGCTGGACAAGGTCCCCCCACCCCCAAGACCAAGGACCCTAGGTTTTCCTTGCCCTGGAGGGAGCCAGACACGGAAACAGGGGAGAGGGTGGAGATGGGGTAACCAGTCCACAGGTCTGCAATCCTCAAAAAAAACAAACAAACAACAACAAAAAAAACAACCCTACAGACAACTCTCAGAACTAGCAAATAAGGGCCCAAAGCCATTTCCAACCATCCCCACTCATTTTTTTCTCCAGACAATGGTCCAGCCATCTTCCACTATATCCTCTTCCTTAATAGTCTGAGCGTCTGGATCAGAGGGTTCAGGCTGGGAGCAGACCCCATCTGTGGCAGCCCCATCATTCGGAGCTGTGACCTCCATGTCTTCCACACTGTCCACATCATCTTCATCCTCATCAGTCTCTCTAGCTGTTTTAAGTGCAGTGGCTGTGACCTTGCGTTTTCTTTGAGTGATGTGAGAGGCCATCTCCCTCAGAGCAGCCCCGTCGCCCCTCTGGAAGTGGTGGAACATGGTCTGCAGTTGCTGGCTCACCTGGGGCAGACTCCCGTCTTCCACAATTGTATCAAACTCGTTGGTCAACAGCTCTCCAGGGAAGTCTTCCACCTCATCTAGCTCCAAGTCAGCATTGCGCGTTAAGTAATCCTCCACTGCACGCCCCAGCCACTTGGCCTTCTCCTGGCTGTGCACACCCCCGAAGCCATTCTCCACAGCGATCTGCAAGGCCGGCCAGGCCTCCAGGGCCGCGCAGACCCCAGCCCGGAAAAGAGCTCGCGCATCTTCTGCAGCGCCCGCCATTATCCGGCCCCGGTCCCTGAATTCTTTACCATGTAATTGTTTTTAAAAAGTTTTTAGGCCTGTAATCCCAGCATTTTGGGAGGCCGAGGCAGACAGATCGCTTGAGGTCAGGAGTTCGAGACCAGTCTGGCCAACATGGCAAAACCCTGTCTCTACAAAAAATACAAAAATTAGCCGGGCATGGTGGCGCATGCCTGTAGTCCCAGCTATTTGGGAGGCTGAAGCAGGAGGATCGCTTGAACCCAGGACATGGAGGCTGCAGTGAGCCAAGATCGCTCCACTGCACTCCAGACTGGGTGACAGAGTGAGACTCTGTCTCAAATTAAAATTAAAAAAAAAAAAATTTGTTAGGCTTTTGTGAAATACCACAAGGAGCCTACAGAAAAAAAAAGTTGTCAGGTTTAAAAAATTAGTTACGATCGTTAGGCTGCTCAATGTACCTCGTAAATGATGTGCCACTAACATCTCGCCTTTATGTAAAAGTTTTATTTCAAGAAGGTTTTAAAATAGATTTAATGTTAGCCTTAAATAGCTCTCTGAAGTGCAGAAATAGAGATAGAATTGTTTATATCTTCTACTTTCTTTTTTTCTTTTTTTTTTTGAGATGGAGTCTTACTCTGTCACCCAGGCTGGAGTGCAGTGGTGCGATCTCACTTTAATTCACAAAGAACATGGTCTGCAGTTGCTGGCTCACCTGGGGCAGACTCCCGTCTTCCACAATTGTATCAAACTCGTTGGTCAACAGCTCTCCAGGGAAGTCTTCCACCTCATCTAGCTCCAAGTCAGCATTGCGCGTTAAGTAATCCTCCACTGCACGCCCCAGCCACTTGGCCTTCTCCTGGCTGTGCACACCCCCGAAGCCATTCTCCACAGCGATCTGCAAGGCCGGCCAGGCCTCCAGGGCCGCGCAGACCCCAGCCCGGAAAAGAGCTCGCGCATCTTCTGCAGCGCCCGCCATTATCCGGCCCCGGT